CTCGGAGTCTTGCAGTGTCTTTGATGGAGGACACTGTCATGCAAACTCAGGTGTCATTCGCAAAGGAAGACACAGTGCTGTGGCTTGCATCTCTGTCAGATATATGGACATCCAACCATTCTCAATCATGTACGTATTTTATCTAATAACATTAGTTTCAGTGTCTTCCTCAGCTTTTAAGAAATTTACTTGATATACTTAACATAATGGATGGGGCAAGTATTTGTGCCTTGTAAAAACTGAGCTTTTCACTGTGGCCACCTCAGACTTTACTCTGTTTACTATTACTCTTTGTGTTCTATTCGTTGGGAAGCTATAGATCCATCTACCAACTTTTCCATGTTAAAATATCTAGGGTTTCAAATCCCCAGCTAGTCAAGGTATTGTTATTTGCCAGGAACCACTCTCTCTCTCTCATATATATATATACGTATATATATATACATTATATATACAGTGGACCCTCGACTAACGCTATTAATCCATTCCTGAGAGCTCATCGTTAGTCAAAATTTAATCGTTAGTCAAGTTAATTTTCCCCATAAGAAATAATGGAAATCAAATTAATCCGTGTAGGACACCCCAAAGTATGAAAAAAAATTGTTTTTACCACATGAAATATTAATTTTAATACACACAAACTGAAGAAAAACATGCACAGTTACATGACACTTACCTTTATTGAAGATCTGGTGATGATTGTTGGGATGGGAGGAGGGGGAAGTGTTGATGGTCTTAGTGTTTAGAAGGGGAATCCCCTTCCATTAGGACTTGAGGTGGCAAGTCCTTTTCCGGGGGTTACTTCCCTTTCCTTTAAATCCCAAAACCAACCCCTTTCTGCCAAATTTCATAATCACCCTTTTGCTATTTTTTAATTAAATCGAAAACCAATTCCCACCTTTTCAAAGTCCTTGAGGATCATCTCCGCTTTTTTTTCTTTTTCCCAAACCCCAATTTACAGTCCCCAACATCCCCATATTGCATCTCTTTTTCGAAAAGATTGCACCTTTGGGCAAGAACCTCCTTTTTCCTTTTTTTTGGCCACAATATACAGGGTTTTTTTTTTTTCAACCGGCCGCTCATACACCCTCCATTTTCAACTTAAAAATGCTCTTTTTTCATTCCAAGTTTTCTCCCCTTTTTCGTAGGGTTCCAAAAGGTTTCTTCCCAGGTCCCTTTTTTTGCATGAAATTTCCTAAAAAGTTTATCCCCTTGAAAATTTTTCCATTTTATTTGGAAACCATGGCCTGGCTGGCTTGTAACCTCCAAATTCTTAAAAAAAATATTTGGTGATTTTTTACCTATTCGGAAAAAATTTTTAAAGTTTCCTATCTTTTCTTAAATTTCCTCTTGACCCACTTTATTTAAAAACTTCCCCCGGTTAACATATTTTTTTTCACTCCAAAGTTTTCCCTCTCCGAATTTTTCCAAAATTTGTAAAATAGATTATCCATTTCAACCCCAGCTACCAAAAAAACCACTTACTAAATACCTTAATAATTTCGCTTCGGGGGTAAACTTATCTCCCTTTTATTTTTCTTTTTTTTTTTTTTTTTTTTTTAATATATATATTATATAAAAATTATATATAAAAAAAATTTTTTTTAACACCCCGGCCGTACCCACCAGGCGGGGTGGCCCAAAAGAAAAACAAATTTCTCCTTTTCATTTTAAAAAAAATTTTTAAAGAAAATTACACCCCTTTTCCCCCGGTTTTTGCCCTTTCAACCCAGGTTTAAGGGTCGTTTCCCTTCCCCATAGGTTAATTTTAATAAAAATAATATTAAAAAAATTTTAATATTATAAAAGTAATGTTTTAAATTAAAACCCCTCCCACAACCCCACCTTCCATTCCAAAGGGCATTTTAAAACGTTCTCACTAGGGGGGGGCACCTTAGTATGGTTTGTTCCACTCTTATTTTTTCCCAACCCCTTTTAAACCCCTTTAACTTTCTGGAAAAAGTTTATAATTGGACTTTATTAAAAATAAAAATGGGAAATCACCCAAAAACATTTTCGGCATGAATCCCCCGTCAAGCCTTTTTTTTCAACATTTCAAAGGTAACCAATAAGGGGCTGTAAATATACATACCCCCGCTAAGAAAAATCCGTGCCCCAATTTTTTAAAGTGTATTTTTTAAAAATCTTTTTTACTTGTATGTTGGGTCTAAATACTAATCACTTCCCAAAATTTTTCCTCATGGGACCAAATTCTCATACTGGACCTAACTACTTCGGGATTAAAAATTCCCGGGGCCACTTAAAATTTTTAAATTTAAATTTTAAATTAGAATTTTATAAAAATTTAATATTTTTTTTATTTTTATTTTTTTAAATCCACGCCTTTGCCAAGACCCTCCATTTACTTTCTTACAACCCCAACTAAAAAATTATTAAACAACCACGTGAATCCACATCCTTTTAAGGCCACTTTTACGGGAAATAATTTCCCTTTTTCCCAAAACTCTAACTTGACCTCACTACCTCGTAAAAACTCTTCACTGCTTTCAGTAACCTACCTCCTACACCATACACTTGCAAAATTCCCACATTGCCCCCCCTATCCCCCCGTCAACCCTTTTCCAAACCATAAATGCCACAAAACTCTTTACCCCTTATCTAAATACGTTCAATTTTTTTCATGTAAAACCTGGTCCACCACCCCCTACCTTTCTAAAGCCCCTTGTTCATTGCATCCTATTCTCCGTCTTATTTAATTCTTTCAAAATAACCTACCAAAACATTTTACCAGGTATACTCCAATTTACCCCCTTTAAAAATTTTTTGCACTCTCTTTTTATCCCCTTTTCCCTTTATAAAAAGGAACTTGCATCTCTCTGCCAATCCCTAGGTACCTTACCCTTTCCCCATACTTTATTAAATAATTGCCCCAACCACCCCAAAAACTATATCCCCACCTGCTTTAACATTCTATTTTTACCATCAATCCCGGCTGCCTTACCCCCTTTCTTTTTACCAAACCCCTCACAAACTTCCCCCCACTCACAACGGCCTTCCTCACTCCTACAAGATGTTATTCCTCCTTTCCTTAAACAAATCAAGTTTCCCCTATCTTCATAACATTTAAAAATTTCCCAAAATTTCCCTCCACTTCCCAATACCCAATCTCCATTTAATAACCTCCCTCCTTTTTTAACTGGCAAATCCATTTGTTCTTGGGCTTTCTTAATTTGTTAATCTCATCCAAAACTTTTTCTTATTTTCAACAAAATTTGTTGATAAATCTCCCCCACCTCTAAATTCTCTCTTTTTACATTGCTTCACCACTCTCTTAACCTCCTCTTTTTCTCCATATCCCTTTTCCCCTCCTTGCATCATTCTACTTTTAAAAACTTCTCATACTAACTTTTTCTCCCTTACACTCCTTTACATCATCATTCCCCCAATCGCTCCTCTTCCCTCCCCGCACCCACTTTCCGTAACCACAAACTTCTGCTGAACACTAACACTCTTTTTAACCTACCCCCTCCTCTCGACCCCATTGCCAAAGCTTCATTACCCATTTCCTCCAAACTGTTTTTATCTACCCTAATGCCTCCTCTTTTTGTTTTAAACCCTTTACCCCTCTCTTTCCCTGATGCTCATTCTCCTTGATCCCCACCTTTTTCTCTCAGTGTAGCTACAATAGAAAGTGATCTGATAAAATTTTGGCCCCTTATAAACAGTACACCGAAGTTACTTAACATCTTTTATCACCAATACATAACCAAAAAACACTGTCAATTTTTGCCCTACTCCCTATCTTGTATACTTTTTATCCTCTTTTTTTAAAATTGTATTACCTATAATAAACCCTTTCTATACAAAGTTCAACAAAGGGCTCCCTTTTTCATTTACACCCCGGCACCCAAACTTACCTACCACACCCTCCTAAAAAATTTTTCCCACTTTTGCACAGGTCCCCTACCACAATTACTCTCTCACTTGGTTCAAAGGGTCCTATACTCACTTAAAAAATCCCAAAAATCTCTCTCTCCCCCCCCCTATTCCTTCTTCTCCAGGGGCATCAAAATTTTTTATGACCCATTTCACACCCCAAACCTTTTCTTTTAAACCCCATAATTCTTGAATTTACACATTTATATTTTCTTTTTCCTTCCATAACTGATCTTTTTCATTACGCTCCCCCCTTTCCTTTTTCTCTAATCCCCTCGATACTCCAAATTTTTAAACCCATTTTTATTTCCCCCCCCTGAAACTCTCCTACCCCCTTGCTTTGTTTCGCTTAGGGCCAGGACATCCAACTTCTTTCATTCAAAAAATAGCAATATCTGTTTTTTTCCCCTCATCCACGCACTTTTAAACATCCCGTTTTATAAAGTTTTTCTTCTTTCTTTTTAGTAAATGTCTAAAAAGAAGGGGTACTGCCCTTGCTCCCGGCATATATAATTATTATTATACAGTGGACCCCCCTTACGATCACCTCCCCCAATCGACCAAATTTTTGTAAGTGTTTTTATTAGGGCGTTTGTACGTTATGTTTGGGGGGCAAATGGATAATCTAATTTTACAAAATTCCTTTTGGGGAAAAAATTCGTTTAGTACTGGCCCTGAACATACTACGGGAAAGAAATAAAATGTAAACCGGGGGGCCACTGTATATGTATTCTTGCAATGAACGGGGTATCCCATCGAGGCAGGGCGGGCGGCCAAAAAAAGAGAAACAAAAGTTTCTCTTGTTAACCTTAGTAATTCATACAGGAGAAGGGGGTTAGTAGCCCCTTGTTCCCAGCATTTTGGTAGTCAACTACACATCATAGCTTATGGGTAATTCAAATTCCCCTTTCCCCCTGAAGATAAAAAATAAAGAACAAGAACTGTTAGGAAAACAGAAGAAAACCTAGATGGGTGTGTAAATATATACGTCTGTACATGCACGTTTAGTGTCATAGAAGTAACAAGATATACCTGTTATCCCATGTATTTTTATATACGTATAATTGTGTAGAAACATTTAACAATAATAAAACACCTTTTCCATTAAATTATTTTATTGTCATATTTTACACTGATTATCTATTCAACGTATCACAGCTCACAAGTTGGAGAAGAGATGGTGGCAGAAGCTAGCTCCGGGGTCCGGCTAAGCTAGTGGCATTTATCTAGTATGAACAGTGTCTGCATGTCTGGATCTATAATATTCTTTTTACAATTATTATAGGAGCACCCTAGACTACACGACACTGCCTCCTAATACAGGGGGTTCAGCCCTACTGTAAGGGGTAAGGCTATACTGACCCCGGATGGCAGTATTTACCAAAAGTAAGGGGGCACCAAAAGGGAGGGTCATGAAGCCCCAAAAGATGAGGCACGCCTGGGCCCGGCCCTGCTCGAGAGGTATTGCTGACAGCCGGGGAAGGGCCCCGGGAACTGCTGCCATGAATTTTAATAGGAAAAATATCAGTGTTTCTCTTCCCCTAACGAAGAAAAGGCCCGTTGGAAATGACTCTCAAAGACTCTTCACATCTAAAGCTTTGGGTTTTCATTAAGAAAACGTACATATAAAAATTTTATTTACAAAATTAAATCATCCAAATACCTTTATACAAGTCACACTCCCCTGACCGAAAAAAAGGGACTTCCTCTAATAGCCCTCCAAGTTTATTTGGGGTGATTCGAAGCGAATTTAGAGATTGGGCACGAGGCTTAACTGAATAAAAAATAATGAACACTCAACTCTTTGGAAATTACCCTCAAAAAAAAAAAAAGTAGAAAAGCCTTTTCATACAAAAATCACAAAGGGTTCAAATCAGTTTTAAGAGCTAAAAATTCTGTGGCACAAACAAAAAGACCAATAAATAAAAAAAAACATCACTAGTTATCTAAACTGCTAGATGTGACTCCATTCTTGTCACAAACAAACTTGGAAGAATCTTTGGTAGCAGTCTTTTTGCTGCTGTACATACACTCGACTTTTTTCTTATAATGGCAATTAAGATTCACTGAAGTTTTGAACATAAAATGCAATACAGTACGAAAAAAGTGCCTTGCACCATCAAGGATTATACCAGCTGTTGATATCAACCACCAAAGGGGACAAGTTCAAAAGTCACAAGCTGGTAAGAACAAGTGGAAAAAACAAGTCTAAAAGACACTTGTTAATTTTGCAGTCTGGCCTTTATATCCATCAATGGGATAGTTAAAAAAGTATGCTGCCGCTCACTAACACTCACTAAATTGCTGGGGTCTGTACTGACTGGGGCGAGACACCACAAGATGTGCTGGGTAGCCATTGGTGGCAGGAGATGCCTGTGACACTACAAGACCTCGTCCACTGCCCTCGTGTATTACTGGCAGACTCTGAGGAGCCTGTGGATTTGAGGGCGATGTTAAGCGACACACAACCTGCTCACCATTCAAAACAGCCACAGTCATCAAATTCTCTCGCGAGTATTGCTGCTGTGCTTGTTGCAGTTGTTCCAAGTCTCGGCTCATCTGTGCAGCATTAAAATCTCGTAATCTTTCTTCGCTGAGAGCAAACTGTTGATCCTGTGGACTTCTGGCATAGTGATGACCCTGTGCATGATGGTATGGTAGCAGAGGTCGGGCATCACCATAGCTACGAGAAGATTGGCGACTCATGTCACTCGGCGTGCCACGTTTGACATCTTCATCAGAGAGGTCGGATACCTGCATAGTTTCTTGTCCTGCAGGAGCACCAACCACACCTCCAGATCGACCTACCCAACGTTCACGCTCAATCTCCTCATACACTGGGTCAGCTTCAGTCTCAATCTCCATGTATGTATGATTCCAAGGAGAATGAGAACGAGCTGTAGTGCCATTTCCCCGTAGCATTGCAGCCACGGCAGGAGGAACAGCAGCTGGTGAGAGCTGTGTTGTGTAACTGTTTGGTACAGTGATGACCTTGTTCCCACCTTCCATGCTGGGGAATGTGAGACCACCATCCAGTCCTCCTGCAGCATTGATACTATTAAGTTTAGCAAGATAAGCATTCTTGAGGTCTGCTGTCAGGGAATTGGAGTAGCGATGGTGGTGACTGTTCCAGCCAGCACGTGGAGAGTCTTCCTGCTCAGACCCACCATGACCTGAATCACGAGAAAAGGATTTGTATGAAGCATCTTCATCGGCATGATTAAGGGTGGCGTGATGAAGGTTGGTGGTGGTGGTTGTGGTGGTGGTGGTGGTGCGCGGGAGGGTGACTGTGTGGTGGCGAGGAAGTGACTGATGAAGAGTGCCGAGGGGTAGATGGCCCGTGACTCCCTGACGAAGGGAGCCCCCAGACCCCATCGTGGACGTGGCCCCGGACAGAAGGGGGCCCACAGGTGGGTGTGTGGTGTCCCCAGACCCCTTCACTCCGCCGAGTTGACACAGCGTTGGAAGATACTGAAAGACAGATTTAGCTTAATTAGCTCATGCAGAATGGCTAGTTTTTGTCTTTTATCATACTACAGTATGACAAAGAATGCAGCATTCACAAACACACTACAAATTTTATAATAATTGCACAAAAACACATTTAGCCAGAATTTTCTAGATACAAAATTAGATTTCACATCATGAAAAGAGTCTAGTATAT